TCCAGATCATACCAGGATGTAAATCTTTTTTTTTTTCCTTTTGGGGCCTTAGAAAATATTCCCATTAAAAATTCTTTCTTTGAGTTCAATATAAAGTTACTTCCTTGGAGTATTGAAGGGGGAGAGAGCTTACAGCAATATTCTTACGCTGTGCGATGAGAAAAAATTATGAAGAGGAAGACCTACATGATTCTTCTTAGTGAAAATATCCCCCAAATAGATTCATTTTTGGTAAATTTTTACATGTGCTCCATATGCTCTGGAGCTACGTGTTAATGCCTTAGAGATTTGAGCTGATTACTCTGATTTCAGAGACCTCATGCCCGATGTCGGCAACAGAACGCTGCACTTTGTGGATTAATATATTATACATAAGCCCTTAGCGTCTCTAAACTTCAAAATTAATGTTTTATTCTGCCGTCATATTGGCAACATGAGCCACACAGAAGCAATCTTGGAATGGATATGAATACCTAACCACAAGCAGTAGAAGAAAGCAAAGGGATTGCAAATAAAGTTTGAATTCTAGAGGCATTTCATTTTATGAAGGAATTTAAATATATGGCTATTTTTTCCTTCTTTATTTGGTTTTTTAATTTATTTCGTATCAAAAGCATTGTATAAATTAGTATAAAACCGATAAAAATAGAAGGAGCGCAGGTGGCTAAATATCTTTTGACCCAAAACGGGCAACAGCAATGGCATTGTCTTCTAGCCTCCAACAATTCTTCCTCTGTACATGAGGCAGGGCATAGTGGACAAGCATACAGATGCGGAGTTGTCTGTTCTGCTCCACAGTCACATAAGACGTGGGATTATTTTAGGTCAGGCATCCTCAAACTGTGACCCTCCAGTTGTTTGGGGCTTCAACTCCCAGAATTCCTGACAATTGAATAAGCTTATTAGGGCTTCTAGGAGTTGGAGGCCCGAACAGCTGGAGGGCCACAGTTTGAGCATGCCTGTTTTAGGTAGTGCCATTTTGCCAGGTTGTCTTTAGATCTGCCCACTCCACTTCTGAGTCTGTTCAGGGACTTCCAAGTTGCCCATTCTTGGTTTGCCCCTGGAGGAAGAGCCTCATGGGGGGGCCTTCCAGTTGGGATTTCCTGGTCTAGCTGCCCAGAGGGATACCCTTGGTGTTGCTGGGTGGACGCCAAGAGGAGTGGTAGTTCTCATAAAGCTTTTCCTTGACTTGAGTCTACTGGGAAGAGGCTGGTAGCCATGTAGTGGGCGGTGTTCAACCTTATTTCTCTCACATTTAGCAGCTACTTCCCGTGGCACATCAGGGGGACAATGCCAGCTAGCTCGTAGAGTTTATCAACAAATGTAGGTTTAAGACATCCTGTGGTTATTCTGCATGTTTCATTCAATGCTATGTTCATCTGCTTTGCATGAACAGATCTATGCCAAACAGGGCAGGCATACTCGGCAGTTGAGGCCAGGGTTGATGTAGCCGGGGGGGGGGGGGGGGCTTGAGGGGCTTCAGCCCCCCCCCCTCGAAATTCTCATGGTGGTTCGCGAAAAGGCCTTACTGGTGCATTATTTAAACTGTTATGTTTATTCATATCATGATCTGATCACCCTACTCAATATATCCCATATGCATGGGGGTATTGGGGTAACCCAGTATGTTCTTACTAATTTTGGGACTGCACCCCATGTGCTGCCAATAGGTTTTCACAGGATGTTATTGTGTGCAGCTACTTTGTGCTTGGTGTTCAAGCAGGGTTTCCTATATGTTAGTGTTCAATCTAAGGTGACACCGAGATATTTAGGATGGAAACAATGTTCAAGCTCTTCACCTTCCCAGGTGACTTTCAATTTCCTGTTGGCTTCACCGTTGTGTAAGTGGAAAGCACACACTTGTGTCTTGGCAGGGTTAGGCTTCAGCTGGTTATCGTTGTAGTAGTAGGAGAGATCTTTGTTTGGTTAGCTGTTCATTTTAATGTAGTGTATTCTTTAGTCTCACTGCTCTGATTTTAAAAAAACCTACAAGCACATTCACACGACCTGCCTGTCTCTACCAAATACATATCCTTAAGACCAGCTCATCCCTGTGTTACCCCTCACCCAATGTAATCATGAGAAAATATTTTTATTGAGAATACATCCAGTGCAGATGGAGCTGTCGGAGTTCATTACTTAGGCAGGCAGGATAGTATTTTTTAAAAAAAAAAGATCTAATGCCTATGAAACCTTTGTCTCAATCCAAGACAATATGGCAAAACTGTCCCCCAAAGAGATAATCTTGGATGCGCTCCACAGCAGACCTTCAAGAAACATCTGATGATACCAAAGACGCTAAGCAGTTAGGCAAAATCTAACATTAATTAAAATAATTATTGCAGAATATGTCTCTTTCATGAATATCCAGCTGGTTCCAAAAACTGCTTCGCTTCCAAGTAAAATTGGCCTGCATCATTAATGGGGGGAAATCATATGGTCCACAGGTGAAGCAAAGGCAATTGAAAAACAAACAGACAAATAATCAGCTCTATATATTTACCTAAAGTTATAATGCAAGATCTACTTGGCTTCACAGTTGATTTGGCAATTTCACATTTAGGTTAATTTATTATGGAAATGTCATTCCAAGCAAATCTCAGGCCTCTGCTATTCTGCCATATAAAATTCAGGTCATCTGCTTTAAAATGGATTATATATGTAGATTCATATAATCCAGTTCAAAGCAGATAATGTGGATTAGGAGCCCCTGGTGGCGCAGTGGGTTAAAGCACTGAGCTGCTGAACTTGTTGACAGAAAGGTCGCAGGTTTGAATCCAGGGAGTAACGTGAGCTCCCCCTGTCAGACCCAGTTTCTGCCAACCTAGCAGTTTGAAAACATGGAAATGTGAGTAGATGAATAGGTACTGCTCCAGTGGAAAGGTAATGGCGCTCCATACAGCCATGTTGGCCACATTACCTTGGAGGTATCTACGGACAACGCTGGCTCTTCGGCTAAGAAATGGAGATGAGCCCCAGCCCCCAGAGTCAGACATTACTGGACTTAATCTCAGGGGAAAACCTTTATCTTTACCTATACTAATGTGGATTAACTTCTTTGATAATCTGGATTATATGGTAGTGTAGAAGGGGTCTCAGGCACCGTCTACACAGCAAAATCAAATCCCACATTATTTGCTTTGAACTGGAATATATGGCAAAGTGGACTCATGGCCCTTCCATACAGCCCTATAACCCAGAATATCAAGGCAGGAAATACCACAGTATCTGCTTTGATCTAGAATATATGGCAGTGTGGACTCAGATAACCCAGTTCAAAGCAGATACTGTGGGATTTCCTGCCTTGATATTCTGGGTTATAGGGCTGTGTGGAAGGGCCCTGAGTTCACACTGCTATATATTCCAGTTCAAAGCAGATGTGGGATTTGATACAGCTGTGTAGATGGGGGTTGAGGCCCCTTCTACACTGCATATAATACAGATTATCAAAGCAATCCACATTATCTGCTTTGAACTGGATTATATGAATCTACGCATAACTGAGGGCTATGTGGAAGGCCCTTCAGTTATGACTGAGAGTAGGATATTAGATGGTCTACTGCTGTGATCAACACTTATATTTATATTGATGTGTTCTCACATACACATACATGTTATAGTAAGTTGTAACAGGATCAAGTATGTGCGTGTGTTAAAGAAAATCTTCAACTGTTGATTAGGCCAGGGCAATCCATGGTTCTAAATGGTTCTAAAGTACTTACAAAACTAAAGTTCTGGTGGCGAAAATTTCAGAACTCTAAAAAACTTTCAAAATTTAATTATTACTTCATTACTGGTAATTTTTATGATAGAACCAATTAGGAACTGCCATTTATAATGAAATTTTGAGAGTTTTGTTAGAGTTATGAAATTTTCACCACCAGAACTTTAGTTTTGTAAGTACTTTAGAATCATTTAGAACCATGGATTGACCAGGCCTACTGTTGATTAGTATGTGCAGCTGCTAATGTAGGTCAATTAGTAAGTTTGGACCACACCCGATGGGGTATAACTGTCTGGATTTTAGAATACAGTTCAGCTTTTGCTTTGAGGAGCCTTTGCTCATTTTGCTCAACCATTAGTACTGCTCTCTCATTTGGACAAAGTTGAAGAAGCCTTATTTTGTATTGCTTACAAGGACTATGTAAGTTTGTTGCACGTTTTGTTTTGTTTGCAACACTGCAAGTTTATGTTTTAACTCTGCTTTTTTTGTCATGTCAAGAGCGACTTGAGAAACTGCAAGTCACTTCTGGTGTGAGAGAATTGGCCGTCTGCAAGGACGTTGCCCAGGGGATGCCCAGATGATTTGATATTTTTATCATCCTTGTGGAGGCTTCTCTCATGTCCCCGCATGAGGAGCTGGAGCTGATATAGGGAGCTCATCTGCCTCTCTCCAGATTTAAACCTGCGACCTGTCAGTCTTCAGTCCTGCCGGTACAGGGGTTTAACCCACTGCTCCACTGGGGGCTCTTTAACTCTGGTGATAAGAATAAAGTTTTCTTCTGTTCATTATCCGCTTACCTGTGTGGAGTGTTATTGTGTCTTCTGCATTGGACCTGACTGAAACCCGCTTGAGCGCAACAATATATGCATGCACACACACACACTGTGTAATATTCATGTTTGCACATGACAAGCTAAGCAAACAAAACAATAACAATACAAAATGAAACAAAAAGTAGTTTCTTGGGAGTGAAAACTAATTTTTGGGTTCTCCTACTATTCAAGAAGATTTTCTTGCCCTCGCGAGCAGCTTTTCGCAGTGGCAGAGGGACCTACAAGAGAAATCAAGGCAGCAAGAAAACTCCATTACAAGAACTGAACTCTGCTCACTGAAGCTGAAACCCAAGCTCGACAATTCTCTACAGAGTTGTCAAACAACTGAAACAAGGCAGTTTAAAAATAAATATTGAAACCCAAAGCAGTGTGCTTCCTTTGTCTCTTAGTTTTCCCCCTTTTAAGTAGATTTTTTTAAAACTTCCCTTCTGCTAACAAACATTATGAAGCTCCTTGCTGCGTTGGTCAAGAAGAGCGCTTGTGGAATTCCTGTTGGTTTCAATGGGGATGGTTCAGCATGTCCTCCTGAATGGTACCATATTGGCGGTGAGTTCTCCAGTTCTTTTTTTTTTTCAGCCCCTTCAGCATTTTGGAACCTTATCTTCATCTGGACTGCTGCCAAGAAAAGCCCTTATGCAGAACACTGCTCTGCTTTGAGGAAACAAAATCCCCCGTCAGGTGTGGGGTATCATTTCCAGGCATGCTTGAGTCTGTCCATCCGCCAACTGCCTTTGCCTACATCTGCTACAGCCCCATCTGGGAAATTAGAAGACTGAAAACATGATGTTGAAATAGTGAGAAATCTGCAATATATGTCATATCGGCTACCGTCATAAAATGAAACAAGAGCAGAAAGAGCCCTGTGAGTAATTAATTCTGAAGCAAGTAAATACTTACTCAGACAGAAGCATTGGTGTTTTCCTTAAACCCCATACATGTGGCAGATCGCATCCAGCTTCTTAATACTTTAAAGTACAAAATTAATTGAAGCATAAATAGATCCAAGCACTTTCAGTATCATTAATAGCCCACAACAGAGGAGTCTGCCAAATCCAAATGTCTTTGTAAACTACACCTTCGTTGTGTTCGCAGTGTGTCCTATTTAAGAGCTGAAACAGATGCCGTTCCACTATGTTCCACTTACATACTCTGACAATGAGCTATTGTTTTCCAATAAGTACCTTGGCCCCAGGTTCAGAAGACTGGCCAAAACTCTGGAGCCAATGGGATGCAACTATAGGCCCCGTATCAAAACATCTAAATGCATCAAGATAATAATAATAATAATAATAATAATAATAATAATAATACACTTTATTTATATTCTGCTCTATCTCCCTGAGAAGACTCAAAGCATATTACAGTACACAAGTATGCTTTTTATGTATACAGTGAACAATGACATACAATACACAAACAAAGGCAAAGGTTTCCCTTTCCATCTCCAGAGTCTGGAGGCAATGCTCAACTCTGGCCATTGGGAGGTGCTCTTGTTCCATTTGCCTTGCCAAGGAACCTATTGTCCATAGAGAAAGGGAGAAGCGTGCCAAGAGGAAGGCGCGTCAAGCCAACCCCGACCGAGGCCGCCTTCCACCTGGAAACCAATGCCCTCACTGCGGAAGAAGATGCAGAGCAAGAATAGGGCTCCACAGCCACATACGGACCCACAAGAACACTGGAAGACAATCATCCTCGGAAATTGAGGGATCACCTAAGTAAGTGTCCATAGACCCTCGTGGTTGTGTTTTGCTTGCATGGCTGCAGAGCACTATTTACTTTCCCGCAAAGGCCGTACCTATTGATCTACTCACATTACATGTTTTTGAATGGCTTGGTAGACAGAAGCGAGGACTGAGAGAAGGAGCTCACCCCAACCCATGGCTTCAAACTGCCGACCTTCCAGTCAGCAAGTTTTTCTGCAGCTAGTGGCTTAACCCGCTGAGATACCACAGCCCCAGTCCAGACCAAACCCATTTAGGATTTTGCTGCTTATGATCACCATTTTTAATGTTTTAATTGATTCTGGTGGGCACTGACCCAATTATTATTTTTAATTTATTCTGGTGGGCATTGACCCTCAGTTTGGGACTTGTAGTTCATCTACACCCAGAGAGCACTATGGACTCAAACAATGATGGATCTGGACCAAACTTTGCACAAATACTCAGTATGCCAAAATGAGAACACAGATGGAGTTTGGGGAAAATAGACCTTGACATTTGGGAGTTGTTGTTGCTGGGATTTATAGTTCACCTACAATCAAAGAGCATTCTGAACCCCACCAACAACAGAATTGGGCCAAACTTCCCACACAGAGCCGCCATGACCAACAGAAAATACTTAAGGCCATCCAGTCCAACTCCCTTCACCAGGGCAAGAAAACGTAATCAAAGCCCTCCTGACAAAGAGCTATCCAGCCATAGACAAAGATAGATAGATATGATTCACACACAGAGAGATATAGTATCACAGATTTGAAAGGAACCCCTAAAGAAGGACAATTTGCATGTTGCATGTTCCAGAGTAGACAAACCATACAATCTCCAGATCAACATTGACAAAGAAACAGCAAGAAATACTGTTTACCCATAAGCATAAAGAAATTATATATATTAGAAACCAACACTTTCTCATTACTCTATTTTCCAGATCACCAGACTGGGCCACAGCAACGCATGGTAGGGGACAGTTAGTCTATATAAATAAAAATGTAATGTCCATTTGTGGGATTAACATAACTCAAAAACTATTGGACAAATTGCCGCCAAATTTGGCCAAAAGACACCTACTAACCCAAGGAGTGACCATCAATAAAAAAATTGATATTATCATTTGGGAGTTGTAGTTGCTGGGATTTATAGTTAACCTACAATCAAAGAGCATTCTGAAATCCACAAATGATGGACTTGAACAAAACGTGGCACACAGAACTCCCATGCCCAACAGAAAACACTAGAAGGGTTTGGTGGGCATTGACCTTGAGTTTGGGAGCTGTAGTACACCTACATGCAGAGAGTAGTGTGGATTCAAACAATGATGGATCTGGACCCAACTTGGCATGAATATTCCATATGCCCAAATATGAACACAGATGGAGTTTGGGGAAAATAGACCTTGACATTTGGGAGTTGTCATTACTGGGATTTATAGTTCACCTACAATCAAAGAGCATTCTGAACCCCACGAACGACAGAATTGGGGCAAAGTTCCCACACAGAGATCTCCATGACCAATAGAAAATACTCAAGGCCATCCAGTCCAACTCCGTTCACCAGGGCAAGAAAATGTAATCAAAGCCCTCCTGACAAAGAGCCATCCAGCCATAGATATAGATAGATAGATATGATTCACACAAAGAGAAAGATATAATATCATAGAATTGAAATGGACCCCTAAAGAAGGACAATTTGCATGTTGCATGTTCCAGAGTAGACAAACCATACAATCTCTATATCAACACTGACAAAGAAACAGCATGAAAGAGCATAAAGAAATTACATATTTTAGAAACCAACACCTTCTCATTATTTTCCAGATAACCAGACTGGGCCACAGCAATGCGTGGCAGGGGGCGGCTAGTCTATATAAATAAAAATGTAATGTTAGTTTGTGGGATTAACATAACTCAAAAAACTACTGGACAAATTGCCGCCAAATTTGGCCACAAGACACCTACTAACCCAAGGAGTGACCATCACTAAAAAAAATGATGTTATCATTTGGGAGATTGTAGTCACCTACAATCAAATTGCATTCTAAACTCCACAAATGATGGAATTGAACCAAATGTGGCACACAGAACTCCCATGACTAACAGAAAACACTAGAAGGGTTTGGTGGGCATTGACCTTGAGTTTGGGAGTTGTAGTACACCTACATCCAGAGAGCACTGTGGATTCAAACAATGATGGATCTGGACCAAACTTGGCACAAATATTCCATATGCCCAAATATGAACACAGATGGAGTTTGGGGAAAATAGACCTTGACATTTAGGAGTTGTCGTTACTGGGATTTATAGTTCACCTACAATCAAAGAGCATTCTGAACCCCACGAACAACAGAATTGGGGCAAACACACAGAAATCCTATGACCAACAGAAAACACTTAAGGCCGTCCAGTCCAACTCCCTTCACCAGGGCAAGAAAACGTAATCAAATACTGTTAACCCACAAGCATAAAGAAATTACATATATTAGAAACCAACACTTTCTCATTACTTTATCTTCCAGATGACCAGACTGGGCCACAGCAACGTGTGGCAGGGAATGGCTAATATATATATATATATATATTTGCTAATATATATATATTTGCAAACATTGTATTGCATATCTTCTTGCTTTACACTCATTAAATGGTGAAATGTGTTTTTGTTTGTTGGTTTGTATGTGAATTTAAATAAGATTATATATATATATATATATATATATATATATATATATATATATAATCTTATTTAAATTCACATACAAACCAACAAACAAAAACACATTTCACCATTTAATGAGTGTAAAGCAAGAAGATATGCAATACAATGTTTGCAAATTCGTTGATGCAAATTGGATTCATCTTTTTTAGGTTTGCTTTGGCTTCCTAATATTGCAAGACTATTCAAAGAGAGAAGACATGCATTTACTTTAGCTATTGGAAGGCTTTGTGTGAAAAGTCGAGAGCCAAACAGAAAAAAAGGGATACTGACCTATTCTCCAGCTGACTTCAAGCAAAACCATGGATGACAGCATGAAAAAGGATCCTTGGCTTCACCTGCAACGCCGCACTCCACCGACAGAGGCCGCGCTTCTGACCGCGAGTTGCCCTCAACCCACAAATAATAGCCTTTCGAAAAAGTTGGAAGACCCGCGAGACTTTGCTCCGCCTCCTGGAACAAGGAAACGAGGCCATGGAAACAAGGCCACTGTTTTGCCAGGAGTAAAAATGGCGCCGCTTCGTTCTGCGCATCGCTGTTTTCCGCACAAGAGGCCGTGAAGCTGCCCTTACCCACCATGGCGGCGGACACAGGGCCCGCTCTGAAAGAGGCTCCGATTCCCTCCACGACAGGCTTCGGGGGCCCAGTAAGTGTCATTCATTTTTTATCCTTGTGTTTTAACCGTCTTTTAAAACTGTTTATAAAACACATAAGGTTATATTTTGCACTTGGTTTTAATTTACATTAAGAACCACCTTGTGTCCCATTTTGAGAGGCCCCTTCTACACTGCCATATAAAATACAGATTATCTGCTTTGAACCGGATTATATGGCAATGTAGACTCATAATCCGGTCCAAGCAGATAATGCGAATTATATGCTTTGATGCAACTTGGAATGTTGTGTCCAATTCTGGGTACCACAATTCAAGAGATATATTGACAAGCTGGAATGTGTCCAGAGGAGGGCGACTAAAATGATCAAGGGTCTGGAGAACAAGCCCTATGAGGAGCGGCTTAAAGAGCTGGGCATGTTTAGCCTGAAGAAGAGAAGGCTGAGAGGAGATATGATAGCCATGTATAAATATGTGAGAGGAAGCCACAGGGAGGAGGGAGCAAGCTTGTTTTCTGCTTCCCTGGAGACTAGGACGCGGAACAATGGCTTCAAACTACAAGAAAGGAGATTCCATCTGAACATTAGGAAGAACTTCCTGAGCGCGAGAGCTGTTCAGCAGTGGAACTCTCAGCCCCAGAGTTTGGTTGAGACTCCTTCTTTGGAAGCTTTTAAACAGAGGCTGGATGGCCATCTGTCAGGGGTGCTTTGAATACAATTTTCCTTCTTCTTGGCAGGGGGTTGGACTGGATGGCCCACAAGGTCTCTTCCGACTATGATTCTGTGATTCTAACTTTGATAATCTGGGCTAGGTGGCAGTGTAGAAAGAGCCAGAGAAATGATATGCAAATTGAGGATCCCTTACACCATCTGCAGTGTCGAATTAATGCAGTTTGACACCACTTTAACTGCCATGGCTCAATTCCTTTTTTTTTAACAATAATTTTTATTGATTTTCAACACAGAGTGGGAATAAAAACAACATATAGACAATAATAAAGAGTAATAATCGATAATAGACATTTACAGATACCAATACACTGCCATGACTCAATTCTGTGAAACATGGGATTGATACTTTGGCACCAGCACTTCCTGGCCCCTTCTACACTGCCATATAATCAAGATTATTGAAGCACACAATTTGCATTATGTGCTTTAAACTGGATTATATGAGTCAACACTGCTGTATAATTCAGTTCAAAGCAGATAATCTGAATGTTATATGGCAGTGTGGATCCAGCCATAATCCTACCTAAAATCACTACACCCCACGTAGGCGTTTCATATGTACCATTTTTTTTCAAGCATTAAATAACCAATTCATGTAAAACATAACAATAAATACATGTTCCACACATTATGTATTAAAACTGGAATACCCATTGAACATCAGTTCTGGGCACCACAATTGAAGAGAGATATTGACAAGCTGGAATGTGTCCAGAGGAAGGCAACTAAAATGATCAAGGGTATGGAGAACAAGCCCTATGAGGAGCGGCTTAAGGAGCTGGGCATGTTTAGCCTGCAGAAGAGAAGGCTGAGAGGAGACATGATAGCCGTGTATAAATACGTGAGAGGAAGTCATAGGGAGGAGGGAGCAAGCTTGTTTTCTGCTGCCCTGGAGACACAGAACAATGGCCTCAAACTACAAGAAAGGAGATTCCACCTGAACATGAGGAAGAACTTCTGTGAGAGCTATTCAACAGTGGAACTCTCTGCCCCGGATTGTGGTAGAAGCTCCTTCTTTGGAAGCTTTTAAACTGAGTCTGGATGGCCATCTGTCGGGGGTGTTTTGAATGCAATTTTCCTGCTTCTTGGCAGGGGGTTGGACTGGATGGCCCGTGAGGTCTCTTCCAACTATGATTCTATGGATGGCCATCTGTCGGGGGTGCTTTGAATGTAATTTTTCTACTTCTTAGCAGGGGGTTGGACTGGATGGCCCGTGAGGTCTCTTCCCACTCTATGATTCTATTCTTTATGTTTCCAGGCGTTCAAGTACGAACCCCAACCTATTAGAACTTGAAAGGCAGTTTAAATAAAAGGCCTTTCACCTGCTGGTGAACCAGTAGAGACCTTGCTTACACTGCCATATAATCCAATTTCAGAATCCAGATTATCTGCTTTGAACTGAACTTTGAATCATACAATCCAATTCAAAGCAGATTACACTTTGGCCCCATCCATACTGCCACATAATCCAGTTCAAAGCAGATAATCCTGATTTTATATGGCAGTGGAGAAGGGGTCTGAGATCTTTTAAGGTGATGGGAGGGGGAGAGAATACAGAGTGGTGAGGGAAAGATACCAGATGATGCATCTGGGGGTGCATATCATGTATCACATCTATCAACTGCCTTGTCCTTTTCCCCCCAGTGTCGGAAAGTATCATGTCCTTATGATCCTAACCATCAAATGCCCGTGACTTCCCTGGAGAAGCATATGATGTCCTGCAGGCTGAGGAAACTAGAGTACTCCAAAGAGGAGGAGGTGAGACACTTGCATAGTTTTCTTTCCTATTTTGTTCCTCACTTTGTAGGGTTGAAAAGGATTCTCTCTTTCTGGGTTTTCTCTTAAAAGTAAAGGTGAAGCCTGAAAGGAGAAATGTACCCACTGATAGAAAATCTGACTTCTTATAGAAAACTAACAGTAATACTGTCCAGCTTCTCAGGCTATTTGTTATAAATTACATACTGGCAGTTAAGTCACATGTTGTGTAAATACAGTGATACTTGTTCCAGAAACTAGCAAAGCAACACTAGACACCAGGGTGCTTCTCATGGCGATCTTACATCCTTTAGTTACATTCTCCCACTCCCTGATGACGGAAATGTATTCAATGTATTGTCAAAGGCTTTCATGGCCGGAATCATTGGGTTGTTGTAGGTTTTTTCGGGCTGTATTACCATGTTCTAGGGGCATTCTCTCCTGACATTTTGCCTGCATCTATGGCAGGCAAAGGTAGTGAGATCTGTTGGAACTAGGAAAATGGGTTTATATATCTGTGGAATGGCCAGGGTGGGACAAAGAACTCTTGTCTGTTGGAGCTAGGTGTGAATGTTTCAGCTGACCACCTTGATTAGCATTTGATGGCTTGCAGTGACTGGGGGAATCTTTTGTTGAGAGGTGATGATGTCTGATTGTTTCCTCTCTGTTGTTTTGCTGTTGCTCCTACACAGAGAAGCCACTGAAATCCACAAGCATGTGGACAATTTCAATAGAAAGGAGGAAACCATGAAAATGAACAAAATCTGGCTACCAGTATTAAAAAACTCTAAAATTACAACAGCAAAACAACAGAGGGGAAACAATTAAGGACATCTAATCACCTCTCAACAAAAGACTGCCCCAGGCACTGCCAGGCCATCAAATGCTAATCAATAATAATAATAATAATAATCCTTTATTTGTACCCCGCTACCATCTCCAAAGGACTCGGTGCGGCTTACATGAGGCCGAGCCCAAATACAACAGTAAAAACCATAACAACAGCAACAAAATAACTCAAAAAACAGAGCAATAACATTAACAACACACAATGACGCAATTAAAAACAATGGCAGGGCCAAATGTAATAATTTAAATTAAAAAGTGCTGGACGTGACCAGGAGGAGTGTTTGAAGGGGGATGGGCATGCAGATATCCTAGATCTCTGATAAAGTGCGTTGGGACATAATGCTAGGAGTTTCCTTATTCTGGGAAGGCACACTGGAACAACCACGTTTTCAAGCTCTTCCTAAAGATTGCTAGCGACGAGGCCTGCCTGATGTCCTTAGGGAGAGAGTTTCAGAGTCGAGGGGCCACCATCGGGAAAGCCCTATCCCTCGTCCCCACCAATCGCGCTTGCGATGCAGGTGGGATCGTGAACAGGGCCTCTCCAGATGAACAAAGAGATTGTGTGGGTTCGTACACAGAGATGCGGTCACGCAGGCAGGCGGGTCCCAAACCGTTTAGGGCTTTGTAGGTAAGCACCTTCACCTTGAATTGGGACCGGAAAATGAATGGCAGCCACTGGAGCTCCTTGAACAGGAGGGTTGACCTCTCCCTGTAAGGAGCAGTTGAAACATTCTCACCTAGCTCCAACAGACAAGAGTTCTTTGTCCCACCCTGGTCATTCCACAGATATATAAACCCATTTTCCTAGTTCCAACAGACCTCACTACCTCTGAGGATGCTTGCCATAGATGCAGGCGAAACGTCAGGAGAGAATGCCTCTAGAACATGGCCATATAGCCTGAAAAAACCAACAACAACCCGGCAATGTATTTGTTTCTCAGTATGTGGGTATTAATGTATATAACAATTGAAGAGCACTGGTCTCCACTTCCTACCTCACTAAGAAATATCATTTTATCCAATACTTTACAAGCCCTCCCTAAAGCTACCACCTAATGCTAAGAAAACATCTTAATTATTAGAAGTACATTCCTCTTTGGAGTTTACTTCTAAATAAGTGTGTATAACATTGCAGCAAGTTGTGTCTTTATTTATTTATTTATTCATTCATTCCATAAATAAATATCAGGGAAAATGATTTCAGCATTAACATAGCAGCACTTTTACGGACCTGGGGATAGGCACATACTTGATAACTGCTAAAATTCTAGGGACGTGATGGGTCCATTTTGTGCAATCCTCCAGATATTGTTGAATATCAAATTGCAACAGTCCTAGCCAGGTATAGACAGTTCGAAGTGAATACTGAAAATTGCAGTTCAAAAACATCTGAAGGTCATGATTCCATCCTTTGCATTAGCACTGAAAAAGGAGGCACAGGGCTGTTTTTGGAGCAACTCGAGTCAATGATCATGATAATTACACAGTGACTTCTCTGTTTACATCTTTTATCTTCCAGAATGAAATGTATGATTCTTCTTTTTTCTATGAAAAAGCAAAAATCCCTAAAGTTCTCATGGGTGAGTATGGATGTAATGGTTAAAATAATAATAAGGCAGCAGATTCTCGTATTTGTTTGGCTGAATGAAAAGAAATCATTCTGTGATTCTGTACATTTCTACTTCCATTCTTTAAAATTGCTGAAGGTTAGTTTAGCATACTTTATTCATGCTGATAATGTGCCTATAAACTAGAAACCGTGCTGACAGTTGGAAGTAAATAAAATAAAATGCCCAATAAAACTTCTGAGTCTTTGGTTCACTAGGACGCTTTGCTCTGTTGTTTAAATAGTTCAACGTTGTAAACAGTTTAAGGAACGAGGGGTCCCTTAACGCATGTGTGACGGGGGGGAACCTTTCTATCCCACCGCTGCCACCAATGTAAGGGAGAACGCGAGGTGAGGAGTCTCTCTAATCGCACCTGTGTGACAGGAATTTGCGTGAGGGAATGACTAATGATATGAGAGACCGATGATACTGGTAGATTTTTGCCGCCACCACCTCAATTTTATTGTTTGAGGAAACAAAGGTGTGAATGTATTTGAGGTAATATGCACCCAGGCTTCTGGTTCTTCTTTTTGGGCTCCTTTGCTTGCTGACTGGACTATAAAGAGGTTTTTAGGCTGACTTGGTTTCACTAAGTATGACAGACCGAGGCAGACACCAGTTAACGATGAACTAATAACAGGTTTATTGAACTTCAAGAAGATGACAACTCATAAAATGAGAGGTACACACGCGTATTTCTGTTACTGAGGCTTAGGCTTACTAGACATAAGTTTCTACAGAAGGTGTAGCTTTTACTTGAAGTGAGTTCCCTTCTTCACACTATTCAACTCTCTGAAACAGTGTGTTTCTAAGATCAGTCCCCCTGACTGTCTTACAGAGTAACTGGACTTCCTCCAGTCTACTCTCGCCTATAGGGCAATAAGCTCACTTGTATTTTCTCTTAAATACAAGCTGACAAGTCTTCTCACTGACTATCCTAGTCCAGTAATACTGAAGCCCTTGTCCCTTTCTGTATTCCCTATCAGATCCACTCACTCAAAAGCTTCCTTCTCCCTGTCTAAAATACTTCTTCTCTGTTGAAATCCTACTTCTCTCTGTCTCTGTTAGACCCTTCTCTCTGTGTGTTAGAACCCTTCTCCCCCTCCTGTCAGAAGTGACAGCCTTTTTCACTCTCACCCAACTCCTCCCCTTGGTGCTTAAACCAATCAGGAGTTGTCTGACTCCTCCCCTGCCTCCTTGCCTTTCCCAAGATGTCAGCTATTTCTAAGCTGCCCTACAAAGATGGAGACCCAGCCCACTGACTCTCAGGCTTCAGCCTAGCCGGCAAAGTTTAGAATCTATTACAAACGTAATATCAATTTTGTTAAATATCTGATCTCTGAGTTAGGCCTGGTCAATCCATGGTTCTAAATGGTTCTAAAGTACTTACAAAACTCAAGTTCTGGTGGTGAAAATTTCAGAACTCTGACAAAACTCTCAAAATTTCATTATAAATGGCAGTTCCTAATTGGTTCTATCATAAAAATCACCAATAATGAAATAATAATTAAATTTTGAAAGTTTTGTTAGAGTTCTGAAATTTTCACCATCAGAACTTTAGTTTTGTAAGTACTTTAGAACCATGGATTGCCCAGGCCTATATACAGTCTTTCCTCTATTCCCAAAGAACTGCTTATCTGTGTACTTTTTACACATTTAAAGTTAAATACACATTTAAAGTTAAATACTGTCTTTACACTTGAAATACATTAAACTCTCTGATATGTACTTCTATTCCAATGCAGACAAGAATTTGCAGTTTGACATTATTAAACAAGCTGCTACCAAAGGGTGTGGAAGTTATTTCCCAGGTAAGTGGCTATTAAGAAACGTTGTCAAAGAATTTCTCTTGGAATAGAGACTGTTGAGTCTGAGAAGGTTGCGAAGGTTGTCTTTGGTTCTTCCCAGTATGTCTGTGCTCCTTGAAGGAATAGGAGGGCTCAAATGTGACAAAATGAATAACATGGTGTAGCATCACATGTCTGGGGAATAATTCATGCGAGATTTTCTTAGGACATCCTGGCAAAGTACTATGAGTCTTTCTTGCCCAAAAGTATTTGTCCATTTACTGCTTTGTTATGCTTGCTTTCTGTGACTTAGAATTAAAACTAAATTAGGAACATTCTGCTCCCAGTATCCTTAATAAACACATCAACTGAGGAGGAGACTTCCTGATCATATATCAGTGGCCTGGACTGGGGACAAATGCAATTCATTAAAACACCCAGAGCCAGTTTGGGTCCAAGTTGCATTGAGTGGTGGGGATGATGATGATGATGATGAGTAACACCGTGTAACAGATTTAATTTTTTTTCTGTGCAGAAGTTACTTTGAAAATAGTTGTTATACTCCAGAAACTTTGTTTTTGCTTTTTATCCTCCTTCTAGCTGTCACCTGCCACACGTTGCTGTGGCTCAGTCTGTGTGTATGTGTTTTGTGTGTGTGTATATTTGTGTATGTGTATATATATGTGGTTTTGCGTATGCGTTGTAATGTATTTTTTATTTTTTGGCTTTTTAAGTCTTTTCCGCTGTGTTTCAGTGTTTTTATGACTGATGGTCACTCGCTGGCCTGATAGGTGTATTGTGTCCACATTTAGTGTCAATTTGTCCAGTGGTTTTTGAGTTATGTTAATCCCACAAACGAACATTACATTTTTATTTATATAGATTACTTGAAAATCCAAAGTCTGTAATGTTCCTTAATAAAAATATGCACCTTTCAATGTGCAGACCGCAAAAACAAAGTTTTTGCAGTTTAATAAACTTTTTCCATGTTTTTATGACAGAACCAATTAGGAAATAACATTTAAAACGCAGAGACAAAAATTGTGTTAAATAGTGTAATAATAATACATTATTACCTATCCTTGCAGCACGAGTCAGGGTACAACATCATTAACGCAAAGAGATTAAAACGCTATTAAAATACAAGATACACATACTGTATATTCTCAAGTATAAACCTAGTTTTTCAACCCTTGTTTTAGGCTAAAAAGGTCCCCCTCGGCTTATACTCGAGTCAAGGTTATTTGTTTTTTTACTCTGTCATTATTATTATTATTATTATTATTATTATTATTATTATTATGGAGCCCCCAGTGGCACAGTGGGTAAACCCCTGTGCCGGCAGGACTGAAAACTGACAGGTCACAGGTTTGAATCTGGGGAGAGGCGGATGAGTTCCCTCTATTAGCTCCAGCTCCTCATGCGGGGACATGAGAGAAGCCTCCCACAAGGATGATAAAACATCAAAATCATCCAGGCGTCCTCTGGGCAATGTCCTTGCAGACGGCCAATTCTCTCACAACAGGAGCGGTTGCTCCTGACACAACAACAAAAAATTATTATTATTATTATTGCATTTATTATTTTACTCTATTATTATTATAGTTATCATTTTACTTTATTATTACATTTATTATTTTATCAGTGTTATCATTAAATTTATTATTTTACTCTATGATTGTTATTATTCCATTTATTATTTCACTCTATTATTATTCCATTTATTAGTTTACTGTCTTTATTATTACTGGAAGGATACGTAAGCACATTTACATTGAAGAAGGTTAGGGCCGTCTTATCCACAATTACAATTTTATATAAATATTCAAAAACATTTAACCTACTGATGCCTCAATGAGATGCCTCAATTAATGTAATTTTATTGGTATCTATTTTCATTTTGAAATGTACCAGTAGCTTCTGAATTTCTCACCCTCGACTTATACTTGAGTCAATCCGTTTTCCCAGTTTTTGTGGTAAAATTAAGTGACTCGGCTTATATTCGGGTTGGCTTATACTCGAGTATATACGGTAGTTAAATGCAGAATAAGACCGTAGCTTGACCTGTGGGATGAAGACTTAGCTGTTTTCCACCCCACCTGACTTTTATCATTAAAATCTGAGCTTTTGTCAAGAGGTTGAGAAGTTGAGAGGTTGAGTCACTCACACTCCTCTTGTCTCTGAGGCTCAGAGCACTTGTTTGTTTTTATTGTAATAATAAAATCAACTTGTTTTCACACCATAGGTGCTTATTCCTCTCTGCCTGTCGAAGTTCCAGAAAACCACAAGCGCTACATCTGTGATCTGACCCAGGCTGACCGCCTTGCAATTTATGACTATGTCCTTGCTGAGACAAAGAACCAGAGGTCAAGATCCCAGCTGGCGGAAAATGACAGTGATCTCTTCGTAGATTTGGCAGCAAAAATCAACCAAGGTCTGGGGAAAAATGTTACAGCTGCATTCTGTGTGGTGCCAAGAAACTGTAAAAAGTGTGAAACAGGATTTCAAACTCTCTTATTGATGGGTTGTTGTAGGTTTTTTCGAGCTATATGGCCATGGTCAAGAGACATTCTCTCCTGACGTTTCGCCTGCATCTATGGCAAGCATCCTCAGAGGTAGTGAGGTCTGTTGGAACTAGGAAAAAGGGTTTATATATCTGTGGAATGACCAGGGTGGGACAGCCTGCAGCGCCCAAACACGAATCAAGGAACATGAAAGGCACTGCAGACTACTTCAACCAGAGAAATCAGCCATAGCAGAGCACCTGATGAACCAACCTGGACACAGCATATTATTTGAGAACACAGAAATGCTGGACCACTCTCACAACCACCATGTCAAACTACACAGAGAAGCCATTGAAATACACAAGCATGTGGACAATTTCAACAGAAAGGAGGAAACCATGAAAATGAACAAAATCTGGCTACCAGTATTAAAAAACTCTAAAATAACAACAGCAAAACAACAGAGAGGAAACAATCTGGGACATCTAATCACCTCTCAACAAAAGTTTGCTCTAGGCACTGTTAGGCCATTATATGCTAATCAAGTGGTCAGTTGAAACATTCACACCTAGCTCCAGCAGACAAGAGTCCTTTGTCCCACCCTGGTCATTCCACAGATATATAAACCATTTTCCTAGTTCCAACAGACCTCACTACCTCTGAGGATGCTTGCCATAGATGCAGGCGAAACGTCAGGAGAGAATGCCTCTAGACCATGGCCATATAGCCCAAAAAAACCTACAAATAACCCAGTGATTCCAGCCATAAAAGCCTTCAACAATACCTCTTATTGATGTCTCTTTTTTTTTCTTTTGAATTAAATCTCTGTTCCCTTCCTCCATCTTGTCATCTTACTTGGTGGACCTCTTCTAGCAATGACTACATAACACTGGCAAAAAGGCTGAAAATTCCATATTCATATTTACTTTTTGATTAATGCCATTTCAGTTAGACTAGGCATTGGCAAACTTTGGCCCTCCAGGTGTTTTGGACTTCAACCCCCACAATTTCTAACAGCCAACTGGCTGTTAGGAATTTGTTTGCTCATGCCAGAGTTAGATACTCACCAAGTCACCCATAGCAAGTAAAAATTTCATATAGGTAACTTAACAGCCCTCAACAGAAATAGTAAACATAGCAAACACAGTATTTTGCTGCATCTCACACTGAATGATCCACCCTGATGCTAACCATGTTTTTGAGACTGGAACTGTGCTGTGCCATCATGCAGCATGTGTGTTAATAACTGAAATAATTCTACCTCCAAAAGAATTAAGTATCTCTTTTTTCCATGTAGATGACGGTCAGAAAGGTCCCAAGTCCCACCTTGAAATTCTCGCAGAGATGCGCGACTACAAAAGACGGCGGCAGTCCTACAGAGCTAAGAATGTGCACATAACAAAGAAATCCTACACAGAGGTAAGTGCCAGGAGCAGTGGCAAGTGGTAACTCACCCCTGGGTTGTTTTAGTGCAAACTTTTAAGTTTGAGATACTTCAGAAATCCAGAATTTTCAGTGGAGACACAGGTGGAAATATAAACGCTTGTGAAGTATCTACTTCTAGCTGCAGTTAGTTATCAGCTCTAACCCTTCCTGAACTGAGGAATTCTGGCTGCAGTGATCCATTTCTTAGTAGCCTTACTATTGGATTAGTGTAAATTACTGATAAAATACTAGTCTTGTCTTTCAAGATCTTTGTAAGGGACCTTCTCCGTGATTCCATTTACAAGTGCAGTAGTGCATGACGAGGGTTTCCCACTTTTGGCTCCCTTATGGGACTGCATAATAATAATAATAATAATAATAATAATAATAATAATAATAATAATAATAATAATAATAATGTGCAACAAAATTTGAAAAAAATATGTTCCTGGTTTGACAGTGTTATTTTCTTTTTGATTGAGCAGTACTTACTTTGAAAGTCATTTTTGTACTCCACAAGCTTTATTTTTGTGACTGCCACAAACTATGTTGATTTGGTTGAGACTCTATGAGCTATGATATATTGATTGAAAAACTAGAGCAAAATATGCTGCATAAAAACTTTTTCCATGTTTTTATGATAGAACCAATTAGGAAATGACATTCATAACCCTGGAACAAAAACCATGTTACATAGTGTAATAGTAGTAGTAGTAGTAGTAGTAGTAGTAAAAGGTAAAAGTAAAAGTTTCCCCTGACATTAAGTCTAATCGATTCCGACTCTAGGGTGTGGCGGTCATTTCCATTTCTAAGCTGAAAAGCCGGCGTTGTCTGTAGACACCTCAAAGGTCATGTGGCTGGCATGCCCTTATCTTCCCGCAGAAGCGGTATCTATTGATCTACTCACATTTACATGTTTTTGAACTGCTAGGTTGGCAGAAGCTGGGGCTATCAGCAGGAGCTCACCCCACTCCCCAGATTCAAACTGCTGACCTTTTGGTCAGCAAGTTCAGCAGCTCAATGGTTTAACCCACTATGCCACCAGGGGCCCCCACTTGTAGTAGTAGTAGTAGGAGTAATACATTTATTGCCTGCCTTTTCCTACCTGCTTTTATTTGGAGGTGCAGGGAGCATCCTACCAACTAAATCTTATTAACCTTCTAAGTTTTGAACTCATTTAAAATGTTCTTTTTACAAATAAAAGCAAAACTGAATACCAATAAAATAAATTCAAAACTCAGAAATAATCCAATCTGTTTAGCAACAAAACTATATATATTATATGTTACACAATTTTTGTTCCTGGATTATAAATGTTGTTTCCTAATTGGTTCTATCGCAAATACATGAAAAGGTTTATTAAATCACAACAGCTTTGTTTTTGCGGGACATCCTGCAGCACATTTTGCTCTAGTTTTTCGGTGAATATCTCATAGTTTCAACCAATTCTACATAGGTTGTGGCAGCCATAAAGGAGAAGTTTCTGGGGTATTACAACTACTTTCAAAGTAAGTACCACACAATTTAACAGGAAATAACACTTTCAAACCAGAAACAGAAAATTATTCAAATTTTGTTATGTTGCGCCCTCGATTAGTGAAAAGGTGCATCTAAGAAACCAGCTAAACCATGTTATTCACAATATCCGCCATGTCTCCAAATGTGTTTAGAAATTCAACAAAATGAAATATTTTAATCCCTGCACAGGTAATCAGAGATGTAATTGGGGTGCACATGGAAGAACTGGCTACTCACTGGCAGGAGGAGAATAGGGACACAGAAGCTTGTGACAACGAAACATCCTCATTATCAGTAAAGTCTTCAAGAAGGTAAAATATCATAACAATACTACTTTCTGTGAATCACAAGGGACATAAAAGTTTATCAGCAGTGTCACTGCACTGTAAACTCAAGACAAAAGCTACAATGGGACTTTGTAGAATGCAGTCATGGCTAGCTTCTTGTATCATGAATCTTCGGCTTGCTTCCAAGGCATCCACTCCTTGTGGATACCAAATCCATGAATGCTCATGTCCCATTGTATATAATGGCATATTAAATTGGTGTCCCTTATATAAAATGGCAAATCCCAATTTGGTTTTGGATTTTTTTTTAAACTAAATATGGGATGCCCTCTTCACATAATATATCTTCAAACCAAGGGAGGAGGGGGAGATCCTTTCCTTAATATCTCTCCACTGTCACCAATTCAGGCCAGTAACTTATACCAGTTCTCTTCTGAGATCTGCTGGGACTCCTCTGGGTTTCTCTTTAAACCTTATTAAATGTTTTGCGCAACAGTTTTCATACACAACTCCACATTAACTGGGTTTATTTATAGATGTCTTGCACAAAAGCTTGTTGGTTACATTTGTATATTAGCGTCTTAGTTGAATATAACATTGTTTCATGACAACTCTTATCCTTACGACTTTCTACATATAGAAAGATTCACTTGTTAACCATATAATAGCAAACTCTCAACTGTTCTCCATTCACTATCCTGACTATTTCCTTAACTACTCTTACTTAACTTATTCTCTGACCTATATTCATGGACCCCTAACTTATCCTCATCTAATGGCTTTCCTGACTTCTTTTCTCTCTCTGAATGTTCCGGTTTTTTTTCCCAACTGTCATCCTTAACTCCCTCCTTTTTAAAATTCTGGCATCTGCTCATTTAAATATGACCAATCAGATTCCCTTATGTAAATTAGCTCCAGCCCTACTGCTACTACCCCTTTAAGAATCGCAGAATGGCTGGTCCCATTCCAACCCTGCAATATAGGCCATGTTCTAACATTAACTTTTGCTTTTAAATTCTACCCCATAACCAGTAGTTCACTACATACGCCCCTTAACTTAAGAAATATTGCTGGAGGTGAGTTTTTAATCTCATCGAAAGCAATATTACCAAACTATATTTCACAGAATTCCAAATTAAATTCACATTAAAACAATATACATAAGTATTCACATATTCATCATATTTCACATGTACATATTTCTTAATAATTGCATAATTATCATACAATTTTTTTATAAACATATACAAACATACCCTATATACTTTATCCATTGTTACCTTTCTCTATCTGTTCCCTCTCTTCCCTCGTATTTGCTCTAGTTGTGTATGTGTTGGAGGACCACTGCCCCCAATTTCACCCCTTCTTTCTCCTTCCCTCCCCTCATACCTTTTCCCCTTTCTCTCCCAGTGACATCACAAAGGGCCACTTCACTTAGCAACAGCCAATCCAGTGACATCACGAAGGATCACTGGATTGTCACCTAGCAACAGCCTTTGTGGTGCAGACATATAGACAGACATACTTTGACTTATCAAATAGCGAGATATTTCCAAGCTGTGAAAATGGACTGCTTGCTGTGCAATGCAGGGAGATGTATGTTTTCAACTGTGTTTGGCAACCATAATTGGCATCTCCTGGGTGCTGCTATGGGCAACATACCAGTTTTTATTGCCACTTCCCCATTAAACCAAGATATATGTAGTCTGCCTTATTTGGCACAGATTGTTCCAGAAACTGTGATTCTGCTGCAATGTTTAGCTTGTCCTGGTGTAGGATGAGATTCCATGCTCCAGACAAGGCAGTATTTGCTGTACGAGATAAAAGATCATTAGACATATTCAGATATAGATTTTATTTATTTATCTTGTCAAACTAATTGAGGGTGCGGTTATAATGTATTTAAAAACACAAAGTTAAAAACTTGGCATTATGCTAAATGTCCTTTGACCAGAAACTGGCCACTTGGAGTGCCTCTGGTGTTGCTGTGAGAAGGTGCTCCATTGTGCATGTTGCAGGGCTCAGGCTGTATTGTAATTGGTGGTCTGTGATTTGCTCTTCTCCATACTCGCATGTCATGGACTCCCCTTTATGGCTCTGCATCCCGTGGTGCCCGAGCGCAGTCTGTTCAGCACCTTCCAGGTCACCTAGTTTTCTGTGTGCCCACGAGGGAGTCTGTCATTGGGTATCAGCCACTGACTGAGATTCTGGGTTTTCGCCTGCCACTTTTGGACTCTCGCTTGCTGAGGTGTTCCTGCAAGTATCTCTGTAGATCTTAGGAAGACATTTATTGATTTAAAGTGTTGGCTTGCTGGCTGATATCCAAACAGAGCATAGGCTGGAGATATCAATGCCTTGGTCCTTTCATTACAGGCTGATACTTCCCGACAGTTGTCACGTAGTGCAATACCAGCTAAACAGTGTAATTTCTCCAGCAGTGTAGGGCGTAGACATGCTGCGATAATGCGGCATGTCTCATTAAGAGCCACATTGACTGTTTTAACGTGGTGAGATGTGTTCCACACTAGGCATGCGTATTCAGCAGCAGAGTACCAAAGTGCAAGGGCAGATGTCTTTGCTGTGTCTGGTTGTGATCCCCAGGTTGTGCCAGTCAGCTTTTGTATGATATTATTTCTGGGGGGCCCAGTAGCACAGCAGGTTAAACCACTGATCGGCTGAACTTGCTGACCGGAAGGTCGGCAGTTCAAATTGGGGGAGCTCCCACTGTTAGCCCCAGCTTCTGCCAACCCAGCAGTTCGAAAGAATGCTAATGTGAGTAGATCAATAGTTATTATTTCTAGCACCCACATTTTGCTTGATATTCAAGCAGTGCTTCTTATAAGTTAGAGCGTGGTCCAGAGTGACAGGTATTTTGGTGTGCTGTAATGCTCCAGTGAGATTCCTTCCCAGGTAATCCTCAGAGCTCGAGATAGTTGTCTGTTCTTAAGATCAAAAGCACGTGTCTGTGTTTTAGATGGATTAGGAACCAGCTGGTTTTCTCTGTAATAGGCAATAAGAGTACCTAAAGCTTCTGTTCAACCATTTCAAAGCTCCCGGCTTGAGCAGTAATGGCATGATCATCAGCATAAATGAAGCTCTCTGTCCCTTCTGGCAATGGCTGGTCATTGTGTAAATATTAAACACTGATGGAGGAAGCATGCTCCCCTGAGACAGGCCGTTCTTCTGTTTTCGCCATCTGCTTCTCTGGCCCTGGAAGTCAACAAAAAAGCTCCTGTTTTGTAGCAGATTTCCTCTGAATTGGGTGAGGTGGTAGTCCTTTGTGATATTACAATGGAGAAGGCGATGATTTACAGTATCATATGCTGATGACAGGTCTATGAAGACAGCTCCCATAATCTGCTGCCTTTCAAAACCATCTTCTACGTGCTGAGTCAGGTTCAGAACTTGCATACAACCGACTTCAGATGTAGATGATTAAAAATTGGTCATCTTGCATGTGCCACAAATACTCAAATTATCAGATTAACAGTATTTGCGGCAAATACAAGGAGCATTTGATTCAGTATAGTCCTTATGAAAACTTTTGAGAGAGTGATCTTTGAAAAGTATTAAAAACATAACAGCAAAGTGTAGTCTTGCACTGCCTTTGAGGATGCTTGGGATCACAAGCTCCCTCTTTACCTTGTGTTCTTTCCTTCTCTGCCTTGTAGTAAGCCATAGGAAAAGTAATAATCCCAAGAATGTACTCAAGATTTCTCATAGCATCTGAACAATAGCCAGGAATCTTTCAGACTGCAATTCTTTCTATAATTGCTGTAAATTCCCTGGTTTTGTAATTGTTAACAAACATTTGATCACCAAATGGAATGTATCCCTTTGATTACAAAAATCATTTTTTTAATTCATGCCGTTCTCTTTTCAGAGTGAGGGACACAAACATGACCTTCTTGCTCAGCAAGGGTACTCCTCCCTGCCATCACCGTAACCCCGTATGAGGATATTATTGTTTATGTTAAGCTAAGGAAAAGCATTTCACATCATTCTTAAGAAGATGGCATGGCTACAATAGTTTGCAATGTGAACATTAACAACTCAGCATCTTTTCAAGAGCCTTTATTAATCACTAGCTTGCTGACCATACAGTCATAGCAGCTTATTTTTCCCTAAGCTGGTGGATCTGCATTTGAAGCTTTCCATTTCATTTTCCCTTAGAAAAGACGAGCGGCGGTCTGGATCTGCTGACTCAAGACAGTCTGAAGGAAGTTCTCGGGATGTTGATCACTCCAGGCATAGAAGAAATCCCAGCAGAAGTCCAGGCAAAAGAAAAAGAAGCCGAGAAAAAAGTTCCCGAAGAAAAAGAGAGAGGTGAGTAATTTCCTTGGTCCCTGATTTATGGCTTTTATGCCGCCACAGGAATAACTGTGACCAGGAACTTCTTATAATAGTTCAAATAGGCAAGCCACAGAATGGTAGGTATTTAGAACATGTGACACTAAGGACTTCATCTCACAAGACAGGAAAAATTGGGTGGGATTGTTGTCTTTGCATGGCGTTTCATGGGGTTCTGTCTTTTAAAAAGACTGAGAATTTACTCATCCCCATCACACAGGATTGCCTCTTCCCCTTTCTAGCTCAACCATTGCGAGGGTACCAGTACTCTTTTTGGAACACTTCTTTCCATGGGATCCTTTCCTCTGAAGCCCCTACACTAAAAGAGGCAGGCACACTTTTAAAAACACGTCTTTCAATGGGACCCACAATGTCTTTAAACCATTAATGGAAGCAGAAGGAGCATTAGCAGACCGCCCACATGAACATCCACGTGAAAGCATCACAAAGTAATGGGAAAACCCACCACTTCCCATCACAAGGAAAATGCAAATGTTTAAGCATTTCTATGCACAGGGAAAGGATTGGAGTCGGCAAATTTCTCCCGTTTCTACACACTGTTGAGATAGAGTCCTACAAGAAGCCACTGGAAGCAGTCGTGCGTCATTTGATGGGCTCCATGGGAATCTGTCTTTGAAGTGTGTAGAAATGGATAGAAACAGAGGAAAATTTCATATGATGAGATCCTGAGTTAATTTATTGATTCAGTAATAATGTAAAGGGAAAAAATGCTTTTCAACAAGGCATTTCTCTCATTCCTTTAGTTGCTTAAGTTTTAGCCTTCCAATTATTTCCAGAAGTTCTGCTCTCATAGTGGGCTAAGGTGTAATTTTTAAAGTAATTAGGTGACACTAACCAACTGAATGTAAATATCACTATAGAATGGCTGGCTGCATGGAGCACAAAGTTGCAGAATCTTAATTGGCTGCCAGCTCATTTCTGAGCAATATTCAAAGTGCTAGTTTTGATCTAAAAAGCCCAGATATACATATACATATATATAGATAGATATATATGAAATCAGAAGGAAATATATAGGAAATCAGAAGACGCTTACTTCTTGGGAGGAGAGCAATGTCCAATCTCGATAAAATAGTAAAGAGTAGAGACATCAGACTGGCAACAAAGATCCGCCTAGTCAAAGCCATGGTATTCCCTGTAGTAACCTACGGATGTGAGAGCTGGACCTTAGAGAAGGCCGAGTGAAGGAAGATAGATGCTTTTGAACTGTGGTGTTGGAGGAAAGTTCTGAGAGTGCCTTGGACTGCGAGAAGATCCAACCAGTCCATCCTCCAGGAAATAAAGCCCGACTGCTCATTGGAGGGAAGGATACTAGAGACAAAGTTGAAGTACTTTGGCCACATCATGAGAAGACAGGAAAGCTTAGAGAAGACAATTATGCTGGGGGAAATGGAAGTAAAAAGGAAGAGGGGCCAACCAAGGGCAAGATGGATGGATGGCATCCTTGAAGTGACTGGACTGACCTTGAAGGAGCTGGGGGTGGTGACGGCCGACAGGGAGCTCTGGCGTGGGCTGGTCCATGAGGCCACGAAGGATCGGAGACGACTGAACGAATGAACAACAACAACATATATATATATATACATACATGCATACACACACACATATATATCTTGCATGGCTGAAATGTGACCACTCTTTCATTGGTTGGGGGGCTGCAAACTTTATGGTTTGGATGAAATATATATTTGCAAATTTATCTGTTGTCCACATTGTTGTCATTAAACCTGCAACTTCAGTTCAGTTCATGAATAGACTTCTAGCTCAAGGTGCAGTTTCACAGTATGATTAGCAAACAGGCAAACTGTCTTAAAGATCTTACAGTAGTTCAACCTGGTTAGCTATGAAAGGGCAACAAGACATGAACATGATGGCATTCAGTGTATGTTTTCGGGTTACATTTCATTTGGAGTGAAAATCAAAGGGACAAGTCATAGGCTTCATAGAAGTGGTAAATATTGAATGAGGATTTGGTTCAGGCTTTTCCCCTCATCTGATGAAGACACGGAGTCTGACATAATATGGTTGATTTGTTTCAGAGATGAAGACAAGCATCACAGCCGCAAAAAAAGATAGTAAGATTTGTACCATCACTGGAAAATGTACCATCCTGTGGAAATGCCAGAAATTGAAAATGTGATATTTCACTGTTGTGTCAACTTTCATAATTTAATAAATGTGGTGTAAGATCTATCGTTGACATCTTGATTTGTGGAAGAAAAATGCAGGACGCAGTGTTGTCACTCCAGTGCCTTCGTTACCTTACAGATCAAATGTAGCAGTAGAGATCATGAATAAAAATATCGCACACACCTTCTAGAAATTTATGCAGATGGACTTCAATTAACCCTTGCATTGAATGGGTTAATTTTTACATATTGCCATCTCAGGACAGTGGTATCACCATTGTATATCTAATGTTTGGAATTTTAACAGAATAAATGTCAGAAGGGAAAGAGGAGAGAGAAAGAGATGCTGCCCTGCATTAATTAAGGCCCAAATCCTTACATTATAACCATGTCAGTGTGATATAATAATTTTTAAAAACACACTCACAAAGAGAGAAGTATGGCAGAATGAGATCTGTCACCCTCTCTCCCCATTAAAATTTTATTTTCTCATAACAAGTTTTAAAACAAGGGATGTTAAAAGAATAGAGGTGCAACTGTAAAAAAACTAAACCTTTTGGCAGATAAATAAGTGCTAGATGCTAGTGCAAGATTCTTATACAGTGTTATTATTACAGTATATTATAGAAATAATTAAATCACTTGGATACCAATCCACATATTCATACATACAGCTGAGGTCAATATATATTTGCCCATAAACAGAGTAGCACAATCAGCTTCAACAGCATCAATTTCTAATCTAAAGCAAAATTCATTAATCCCCTTCCCATCCGACACCCAGTCAGGTGATTGGTGCTGTCAAGCCATCTAGTGCTGTGCACATAATCATATTATGATCTAAAATGCAGGAGGTAGATTGTAACCACAGGAGTCCTGTATGCAGGAACCATTTAAGTCAATGTTTCCCAAACTAACACATGTCAATCTAGCATTTATTAAATATATCCTAATGCTGAAATACTTCCCCTGAAAGATCGCATTGCCATATACACTGTTATGTATACCACCGCATTGAATAGTCCAATTTAAACTACAGCATTCAAATAGTTTTGAAATCAATACCAGCTGATAATTTATTCGTTATGCATTATATTCCTCTCCTCTGAATCTCCTTTTTGGAAATTATCAATGTTTCCTTATGTTTCATGTTCTGACTTTATGCTACTTCATTACTGTTAACACAAAAATCAGATTGCAATTTTTTATTGAGAACAAACTGTATTTATGTGCATAATGTAATGGCTTTTTATTGTTCAGGTTATATTTGTGCAGTAAAGTTTTATCATCCGCTTTCGTGTTTTAAAATTTCTTCTGAACAGTTGAGAAATCTGCAAGTCCAACCATACTTTCTTTACGTGACCTAAATAAAGAGAAAATCCATTTGCACTATTAACACCATCATTATAGCTTATTCTACATTAATACTGTGACATCTCTTCCTATTCCAAACCACTTTCAGTCCAATTTTCAGTGATCCTTATAGAGATATTTTATTCCATGATAAACTCTCAATATGGATGATGAATCACACTTTCGGAGAAATGCAGAATATAAATAATCAAATATAGAAATAAATAAGATACCACAATGTGGAAGGATACAAAACTCTCAGGCCTCAGCTAGCACTATTATTATTATTAGTAGTAGTAGTAGTGGTAGTAGTAGTGGTAGTAGTGGTGGTGGTGGTTTATTTATACCCAACTTTATCTCCCCAAAGGGGACTCAAAGCAGCTTGACATAAAAGCATTGGTATCCAATTTAAAATATACAAATATAACATTAGTAACATGTTAATCATGGATGTTATAATGGGGGACCTTTCAGGAAGATTTATCATACAGTTATTACACTGCTGTATGTATCTAAAAAAACAAAAGCAGAACAACTACCGTATTTCATAGTATAATTGTTGGGAAGAAGCAAAGAGCACCAGCATTGAAGCGATGGTGTTCCGCCATCAACTCCGCTGGACGGGCCATGTTGTCCGGATGCCCAACCACCATCTCCCAAAGCAGTTGCTCTACTCCGAACTCAAGAACGGAAAACGGAATGTTGGTGGACAGGAAAAGAGATTTAAAAATGGGTTCAAAGCCAACCTTAAAAACTCTGGCATAGACACTGAGAACTGGGAAGCCCTGGCCCTTGACCGCTCCTGCTGGAGGTCAGCTGTGACCAGCAGTGCTGCAGAATTTGAAGTGGTACGAATGGAGGGCGAAAGGGAGAAGCGTGCCAAGAGGAAGGCGCATCAAGCTAACCCCGACTGAGACCGCCTCCCACCTGGAAACCAATGCCCTCACTGCAGAAGAAGATGCAGAGCAAGAATAGGGCTCCACAGCCACATACGGACCCACAAGAACACTGGAAGACAATCATCCTCGGAAAGCGAGGGATCGCCTAAGTAAGTAAGTAAAGTAAGTAAGTGTTGGTGCCTTGTAATAATCCCACACCCTATTTTTGGAGTAGCAAAATTGGTATTTTTGTGTTCCTCGAATAATAGTCGCATAACCATTTGGGGCTATTTCTCCATTCCTTCCTTCTTTCTCCAAAGGCAAGGCAGTTTAAAAACTATAAAGTCAAGGCCTCTTGAGCTCCATTCTTCCCTCTTCCCTCCTTTTTCTGAGGCAAAGCAGTTTTTAAAAACCTGACATGGAACTCTTTGGAGGAAGGAGAGAAGATCAGAGTTCCATATACCTCCATTCGAAGTTGGAGGGTAGAGCGCAGCTCGAGACTTCTATTTTATAGCTTTTGAACTGACTGGCCTTCAGAAAAAGAAAGAAGAGAGGGAGAATCAGCCCCAAATTGCTATGTAGCTTATACAAAAACAAACAGAAATTAAGCTGTTTGTTTGAGACTGGATCATCCTTCCTTCTCCTCCCCTTTCGGAGGTAAGGCATTTCATTTAAAATAAAATAAAAACCAGAAAGGCAGATTATTTTTCTTCATGTAATAGTCTTACCCACTTTTTTATGAAAAAGGAGGAAAAGTAAGGTTGCTTACCTGTAACCATGTTTCTTCGAGTCGTCCTGTGAAATTCAAACCTGTGGTATTTCCTGCGTCCACGCAGCTGATTCGGATCCTTATTGAAAAGCTTTTGCCAAATCAGGGACTCCAGCCCTGCCCATCCACTCCAGTAATAAAGCCAGGCAGCGGGGCTTGAGGCCTTAGTTCCGTACCGCGAAAGACAGTCGGAGATAGAAGGCATGACGGAGTGCGGGGAGGATGGGCGGGTTGTGTGAATTTCACAGGACCTCTCGAAGAAACATGGTTACAGGTAAGCAACCTTACTTTCTTCAGCGTGGTCACTGTGAAATCCACACCTGTGGTAGACTAGCGAGCAGTCCCATGGATGGTGGGCGTCATGCTAGTGCAGAAAAAGAATTGCTCTCCCAAAAGCCACATGTTTTTTGGCGGCCAAGTCCAATTTCTAATGGGAGACAAATATGTGTGGTGTCGACCAAATGGCCACCCGCCAAATGTCATCCAGTGACACACCATGCAAAAAAGCCACAGAGGTTTCCACTGCTTGAGTGGAATGAGCATGGATCTGAACAGGTAAGTCCAGTCCTGCCAACTGATATGCTAGCCGAATAGTTGCGACTATCCAGGCTGCCAATCTCTGGGTAGAAACCGGAAGGTCTACAAAGTCCTTACGGTACTTGACAAAAAGTCTTAGCGACTTTCGTAATAGAGCTGTGCAGTGGACATAGAAGGCAAGTGCTCTCTGCACATCAAGAAGGTGTAAAAGACTGCTCCAGAGGAGTAGAGGGGTTTGGAAATAAGGTTGGAAGGACAATGTCCTGAGACATATGAAACTATGATGCTGCCTTCCATACATTTCAAAGTTGAAGAAAACGCCATACTGGCCTGAATAGGATAAACAAAGATCCCAGAACACAAGTTGGAATTGCAGTCTGTTAGAGTAGTCAAACTGGAGTCCTTGAGTCAAACCAATAGTTGTTTTAGGAGATAACACAGTTGTTGCTGCTTTCGCGGACAAAAGGAACTAAGGCCTCAAGCCCCGCTGCCTGGCTTTATTACTGGAGTGGATGGGCGGGGCTGGAGTCCCTGATTTGGCAAAAGCTTTTCAATAAGGATCCGAATCAGCTGCGTGGACGCAGGAAATACCACGGGTGTGGATTTCACAGTGACCACGCTGAAGAAGTGTGACTATTATGCAAAGAAATATGGTATATTAGCTTAAGCATGGATCTGAATCTCATTATTTGCAGACTATTCAGATTTGGACCAGTGCAGACATAATAATGTCCTATTTTCTCAACCATGGATAGCATCAAAAGCAGCCATAGACCCTTTTCTCTTCATTTCTACATTAAACTTCTTCATTCCCTGCCTTTTCAGCATTATTTGCAGAACAGCAAGTAGGATTGCAACTAGTTTCTAGTTTAAAGCCAACTGTAGGTTAATGGATATTAACCTACAGTTGGCTTTAAACTAGAAACTAGTTGCAGACCTGATGAATGAGAACGATGGTTAGCATTAACCATGCAGATGTAAAGCTACATCATAGTTAATTATGCAAAACTAAGCATGTGCGATGAGGAGGGAAGACTATAGTTAAAAGATCAAGAAATCTCAAATCTACATGAGTCCAAAAGGTTAAAATATGACAGGATTATATTTCAAGATCTGATCATTTATAGTACTACTCAAAACAAAATCACTGATGTTTTCAGTTTAGTTTTTCAGTGCAGCCATTCTTATGTATGAACCAAATTAGTTCTCAAACTAATGCATGGAGCAAAGCTGTACCTTTATAGGAACTATGCAAAGTTAAGGGGACAAACAGCTCATGGCAATTGGTTCTAAGGACTGTAACAGCATTCCTTTAAAGCAGACGACAAAGCAAAACTTAAAAGCTTTTAGAAAACATTGCTTCATTACACTTCTGCCATAAGAAAGAAAGATCCCATGTCAGAACAGGAGTATATATTTCGACAGCCAATTGATACTTACACACGTTCTTTAAGAGTCTTGAGATAAATCTCTGTGGCTTCCCCCGTTATTTCCTCATCTAAGCCAGCCAAGTAGGAATAGATAAATGCAAAAGTATCATATGGGATGCGGGCTGCTGCCCCCTCTGGGTCCTCTGTTAGAATTTCACAGGCGTGTTTCATGGAGCTCATCAAGGACTAATAAGATCCAAAACAGAAACAATCAAACAAGTTTCAGTTGTAACTATTATAACACTATGTGTATTTAAAGGATTAATTCCTTACTTCATCTCCAAAAGGTTGCACGCCAAGGAACCAAGTAAAAAGTCATTATAATGCCACCTGGGCAGCATATATGTAACTTTTAACAATAAGTATGCATCGACAGAGCCTTACCTCAATTTCTGATTAGAAGAGGGCTACAAATTGTTCAAGTTTAAATTGGAAACGATCTTTGCATAGTCTCTACACCTTGCATATCTTACCAAAAACTGCAAATTTTGTGGAAGTTACCATTTTGGGATTATACAAGATGAGACATATAGATCTCTCATAATTTCAGGGGGCATTCTATGGGCTGTAGTTGGGGTAGAGAGGTGGGATAGCTTTAATTTGGTAGATTAGACTGCTGTTTTCAGTTGGACTACTGAATATCGGGGTTTTGTTGTTCAAACATATTATGAGAAGAACTGTTCTTTGATAACAATGCTGAGAGCGTTCTGGACACGCTTCGCATCAGTACCGGTTTAGAAAATAATAGCTATCGCTTTCTAATCTTGGGCAACTGAATCCACCTGAAAAGAAAATCCCTGACAGACCTAAGACCGTTACAACTCAACAAAATTTGGAAGAAATAAGAGCATCCACTCAGGAATAGCCAAGGTGTTCTGCACATAAGCATGCCAAGTTGTAGTTTGAGGAGGAATCATATAATCATAGAGTTGGAAGAGACCTCATGAGCCATCTAGTCCAACCCCCTGCCATGAAGCAGGAATATTGCATTCAAAGCACCCCTGACAAATGGCCATCCAGCCTCTATAAGCCTATTTAATTGCATCCTTACAAAATGATTTGATGATTTAAAAACCCATTAAAACAAAACAGTTTTGGGTGTACTTTTCAGAAATATATACATTTTTTTTCTAGACAGCTTCACTCATTTTTATACCCCTTAAAATGTGGGCGATCTTTATGCCCCATCTTGTATATGTATCTATTTACTATGTAGATGCCTACCTCCAAATTTATTTCAAAGTCTGAAAAATGTCCAAATGAACCCTAGAATTCTCCTATTATTTCTAGGTCACGAATGCTTCAAATTCAGCAGGGCAGCCTTTTTTTTTTGGGGGGGGGGGGTCCTCCTGCTTCCCCTGTAGTTATCCACTGTCTGTCTCTATAAATAGGTATATGTCACACACATATCTTTTCTAAGTTTGCATCACTTGTTTTAGTTATATTATGTTTTATTTATAAACATAAGTTAGAATCCTGTTGTTTCAGGACATTAATTATTGCACTTTATCTGAAGTAGTGCAATTTTCAACTTCCTGCCTGGCTACTTGGTCCACAGTCTTCCCGCCCCCCCACCTAGCTATGCCTATGTTAGTTTGCATCTCGTGTTTACTGTATTTAAATCTTTGTTCTGTGTATTTAAAAACATGTATTCCATAGAAATACATTTTATATGCGTATTTTATATAATGCTTTATGATTATTTGTTTTAGCTATGTTGTGTCCTGCCTCAAGCCATAAGAGGCAGATAAGAAATATAACAACAACAACAACAACTATTATTATTATTATTATTAGGCTCATGGTTTCTTTCCTTTGATTCCTGGTGTTACTCCAGCAAACGGCAGCAGAAGTCTAGTCATTATATTCTCTTTTGAATCTCAAATTAGTTTAAAAACAGTATAAAACACATTGTACTCTTCCTGTACCATTTAAAATTCTATGATATTTAGTTACTCAGTATCAATACATGACAATGTAATTTGTTTTAAGAAAGATATCTACAAGTCTGCATACCCCACCAAGTGCACTACATCCAAGGGCAAAAAATTTCATCCATTCAATTCCTTCTGAAAAGTCGTCCAATCGGAGAATGTTTTGCAGTTGCACCATTGGCAAACACAAATTTTTCCACTTTCTCTGAAGATCTGGTAACTCCACAGTTCCCTTTTCAGATAGCTTTAAAAAAAGAATATGACCATCATAAATGAAACATATCAAAATAGCTCAAGAAAATAACTCATAATTAAAAAGATGATCTGAGTAATTCAAAAATGTGTATATTAGGTTCCAAACATGTTTTTAAAATTAAAAAAAGGTTTAAACGTGTACCACTATAACATTTTACCTGTTTGTGCAGAATTTTAAGGAGTCCTGGTGTCAGACCTGTGTCATTTTTCTGTGTGGCTACTGGGATTTCAACACGTTCTTTCACAGGAAGAGGCTCCCCATGTGATAAGGCATAGAAATACCTACAATAGCACAAATACAAAAACAGGACTGAGGTGAAAAACAGAAAATACATATACAGAAAATACGCAAGCAGACCTCGTATATAAGCCAAGTACAGATTTGTGGGCCAGAATTACAGCTTTTGATATGACCCATGGCTAAATCAAGAATCATTCCACAGAGAGAGGAAAGTGCCAGAATCACCACAGACACCCTTGGTTTCTGCTGCCATTTTCCCGCCCAGGCATTCAAAAAGACCAGAAGCAGTGCTGTGGTAGAGAGAATAGAGGGGTCTAGTGCTTCTTTTAGGTTCTCCCAGGACAGTCTAAGCTCTTGTTTTTTACCACTCTACTCAGAGGTGGTTCCATATTTGATAAGACCTAAAGTACAGTAATGGCATTGATCCATATATAAACTGGTCTAGTTCGAGGAGAGGAGGTGTGTGTCAATTTTTAGACTAACATTCCCAGATGTATACATGACTATATATAGTATGTACAAATTAGTTTAAAAATCAATATATGACTTAAGCTCCAAGCAATACGACACATGCACATATGCAAACTAGCAACCTATCATCTTTTCAATGAGAAATAATATATTTGTTATTATGGGAATGACTGAAAGGAGAGCTGTGATCAGATGCAAAATGGTTAAAACACATTACAGGCTTCATCACGGTATCTTTGGCAATTATGACTGACAAAAAAATTCAGAAGACTGGCATAGTGTGAAGTTACTGGAGTTCCCATCTATTATGTTATTTTAATTTTATTTTTTACAATACAATCATACTCTTATGCATTAGCTTGTTTTAAGGCATACATATCATCATCATCATATTTAATTACTTATTAATTGCCCTCCATCCGAGAATGCTCTAGGCGATTTACAGCTAAATTGTAAAAGATAAAATACATACATACAGAATTTAAAAATTAACAGAGATCGAATGCTCTAGTAAAAAGCCAGGTCTTAAGTGCTAGAGTAAAAGGCCCTAAGTCACGCATGGCTCTCAAATAGGGCAGCAAGGAATTCTATAAGGCAGGGGCAGAAATAGAAAAAGCCCTGCGTCTGGTACTTTCCAAGTGCACTTCTCTAGGACCCGGTATATAGACTAAGTTGCGTTGGGCTGGTCGTTGCGACCTCCGATGATAGGAGAAGGAGAGGCGGTCCCTAAGGTATGATGGACCCTGGCCGTAAAGAATTTTAAAGGTCAGAACTAACATCTTATACAGGCCACAGTACTCAGTTGGAAGCCAATGTAAATGTTMCAGCACTGGTGTTATHTGGCATTTCATGGGCYTTCTTSTGAGTAACCTGGCTGCCBCATTCTGAACAATARGYAGCTT